CTTCCTCTCCCACTGTCTATCCCCTCTATAGTTTTTACTACCCGCCCACCCTTCACAACCCCTATTGTATTTTACTGTTGTATTTGTGTGCACTTTTTGGTGTGTTTGAGTCTAAGAGAAGGGGATTATTTTTGCTGTAAATGCGATTTCATTGCAAATATTCACCGTCAAGGTTTTTATTATAACAGTATATTTTATCAAGTAAAATGACATTTATGTGCATTTACGATTCAGTAGTATTTAATACAATTTCAGTTAAGATAATTAAGTAAAAACCATAATAACATTTGTAACAATAAAATAGCTTTTTAAAATACTTAAAATAAGGTTACAAATGTGGTCATATATAATTAATTTACTAGTAATTAGACTAGATTGAAGTTAGAGTAAATGATGCTATGTTGTTTTTATAAGTTATTCATAATATTGTTATTCACAATAATGTATGTAAATTTAATAAATGTAAAAGTCTCACTATAACACTTTAATAGCTCGTCCATTATATGTGGCACTAGAAATAAGTTCAAAATATTACTTATAATTTATTTTAAGCATAAACAAATTACAACATACCTGATCAATTTAGCGCCGGGCTTTTTATCATATTTAGATGTAAAATCAACGGTTAAATTAGTACCAGGCTGAATTGGGTTTCCGGCAATTATATAAATTTTACCCTCAGGTGACGACGATATAATATTACCGCCGTTATTAACCTTATTATTTACATAATATTGTTGTTAATTATTAATTTAACTTGTTAAGTTAACATTTCAAATATTTATACCACGATGTGGTTAACACTTACTTTGAGTCTAACCCTATTGCTATATCTCAACACAAGACTCCAATAAAGTGCTGGTTCTCTGATATCGATGGCGGCCTCTGTTTTGTTGGGCTCCTGTTTGATCACCCGATAGGTTACGGAGCACTGGTAGGCATAGGACAGCACCAGAATAATCACCAACACGTATACTAATTGTGTGTTTATTCGGGCCTATGTTTCACAATAAAATCATAAATATACATGGTCAAAATAAATTATTAACTTTTTAATTAACTAAATTTACAAACCATATTCACATATCCTTATTATTATTACTACTATAAGAAAAAAATGCTGAAATCATACATTAAAAAATTATTTGTATGCAATCACGTTGTTATAAATATAAATAACTATTTACTTAATTAGCGATAGTAAATATCACATGAAATGCTTAGAAATTCGTAGACATATTTTGTCACACTTTATCTGTAATGATATGTTATTAGTGATAAGTTATCAGTGATAACATTACAGCGCATATTGAGTTAATATTATTAACTTAATAATGTCGATGAAATTTGTTTTCACAATTAAAAAATAATCATATGCAATATAACAATGAATAGTATCATTAATATTGCACAGTGTAATACAGTATATCCATACATGAACATTTTACAAAATACTACATACACTGACAAAACACTTGTATTAATTAATAGACATGTTTTTATGAGAAAACATTTATTTATAGCGGATTTAATGCTGTAATAATCACTTTTACAGAATTTCTGTATAAACGTTATTATGTTTAGTAAAAATTGAATTTGATTAATTATTTAATTATACAATAATTTATAACATGATAATTACCAATAAAAATTATTTTGTTTACTACCCAAACAACTTGGCCTAATTCATAACATGACATTTAGCACAATTAATCCAATAGCTTTATTATGATTTTTAATCAAATAAAATACATTATTAATTTAGAATTTAATAATAACATAAAAACTTAATTGATTTAAAAAAAATAAAATCTATAAACAATTAATAGAAAATTTATTTTGTTTTTGCCATACAGTTATATTGAGAGAACTAATTGATTGAGCACAAAGCCAGCAAAATACCAGCTGCCAAATGACAAAATGGTATCTCTATACCAGGTCATATTATAGTGATCGACAAGAATTAGGGTCACAATTGATGCCATGATCAACAATAGTTGCCCGATCCCATTGGGCAGAATTAGGCGACTGTAGCGAGCGGCAAGAAATGCACCAAGCACCATGCACAATACGTCCAATGAGTAACAGACGGTGACAAATGAAATCAACAAAATGATCTTTTTCTTCGGATTTAATCATATATAAGTGACATAAACTTTACTAGAATTGATTTTATTAGTATTTAGTATAAAACTAGAAATAATTATAGTGACTTACCACAATTATTCAGCATATTGATTACTTATGATCAAATTTTTAACAACCTTATATCAATATTCGTAATAATAATGATTTTAACTGCTGAATAAGTAATTCATAAAAACAGTTCTGAACGTTTCATTTCACACTTGACCAGAAAAGGGGTTTGTCTATTGGTCTGTAACAATAATGCCTTATATTAAGTATATCATTGGACCTGGGGTATCCATGCTCATAAGTGATTGTAAATAGTCGGAAATGTATGAGTAATACTATGCATGGCTTTTCATAATAAAAAGTTTTTATTTAATAATTTAACATTACTAATTTTAATTATTTATTACATAACTATACAAATCCTAAGTTACATAACTTACAATACAGTATAGCATCATAATACAAATGTGTCCACTGGGTGTCCGCTATAGTATTTGGTGCACTAGACTTTATGTTACTATTACCATTTTATCATAATAACGTCCAGTTTATCGGGCATTAAATGGACATACTCCTTTATTGCTTTATCGATTAAATTGTATTCACATTTGACTCATAAGACAATTCACAAGAAATAATGATCGATGTGGTTGTCATTGGAAATGAAACATACAAAACATTGTGATATCAAACTATTTCATAAATTTTTACATTTTTAAAACTTGTATAGAGAGTTGGGAGAGGGGCGGGTAATTATTTTAATCAGCATAAATTTTCATAACTCATCAACAGTTATAAATCATATGATTTAACATAATTGTTTTGTTCTCAACAAAGGTTAATAACTTTTAACAATCAAGAATTTGAGAGAATTTATTGCAAAGTTAACATTACACATACTGTATATAGTCTATGAGCGTAAAAGTCAGACTTAAGATATAATGTACACAATTTATAGTAAAGTCCTTGAAATGAACAGAATTACGTAAACTACAGCATGTAGTGTACAGTTTGTATGCGAGAGTACTGTACACTTACATCTAATCAACACAAAATGCTTTAAATACTGTCATCTCGATAATCAATATCAAACTACTCTTGGTATTAGAGTCCCACACAAGGCCTTGTCAGCACTATAAAAATGCTCTATATAAATATTTAGCACATTATAAAAGTCAATTCAATTTATTATACCGGGTGTTCACTAAACACAGTATAAACACAAGACATGAGCGAAAAGGCAGCGAAAAAAAGTTTGCAAACATTGAAAGACTGCAAACGCGTGGAAGACGTGAACTTCGCTGAACTGGAGATCATTAGAGGCCAAACACCCGACGATATCAACGACCGGTGCCTTCAGTTATGCCAACAGTATTTGTCGGGCATTTGGTCGCAACAAACGGCCGACACTATTCACGTCAGGCGACTGACCGGTGGTCTCACTAACCAGTTATACCACTGCTCTCTCAATCGCCAGTCAAGCGATACGGATGTCGGCGCCGAGGGCTGTGCGCCCCGAGAGGTGGCCATCAGATTGTATGGCAGTAAATATGTCAACATTAATGGCACGGATGGCAACGAACGGCTCACCGATATTATTATCGCGTTGTTGGCCTCCCGGAGCCGATTGGGGCCTAAAATATACGGCCTCTTCGAGGGCGGAGAGATTCTGGCCTATTATAAGGTATGCGACCATTCAGTACACAAACATATCAAATAATGTACACATTTATCATTACAACCCCAACATTGATAGCACCGTCCGTTTCACGTGTCAGAGCAACAAAACCCACGGCTAGTGTCACAGGTATTCACAAAGTTAGCCCGATTTCACGCCATGGATGTGCCGGTGCGGCGGCGGCACCACTGGTTGGCCGACATGTTTGACCGCTTCTACGAGAGGGCCGACACGACTCTTGGCATCAATACAATGGCCAAAGAGTTAGAGTGCGAGACATTCATCGAGTATGACATCGGATTGGAGAAGGACTGGATTAAGGCGTTGATCGCCCGCACAGACAGTCCAATGGTCTTCACTCACAACGACTTCCGGAGCAGTAATATTATGATCGTTGACAACAAGGATATGATGGACGGGGAGGTCGAGGGCGAGGACTCCGATGGCCAGACAGTAGTGTTTTGCGACTTTGACG